GTGTTTGACTTTGTATCTTTTTCTTTTAACTTGCTGTGTTTTATTTGTTATTTTTTTAATTTATCTTTTAAAAAAGAATGTGTCCATAGTACACGGATGCCCCACTCGCACTATCATTTTCTATGTTAAGTGGACCATGAAATTGGGGTCAAAACTCTAATTTGGCATTAAAATTAGAAAGAGCATATCATAGGGAACATGTGTACTAAGTTTCAAGTTGATTGGACTTCACCTTCATCAAAAACTACCTTGACCAAAAACTTTAACCTGAAGCAGGATAGACGGACGAAAGGACGGACGGACGAACGAAGGAACGGACGCACAGACCTAATTACATGATAACGTCTATCATTTTTCTTATCTACATTCATATGATAACGAACAACTAAATTGGGTAATATATTGTACCTTGCAAGTTTTTCATGAAGTATCTTATACCAGAATAGAATCGTGTCCTTGATGAATTTAAGGAGATGTTTACAATGTGATCCACTGTGTTTATGATAGACATGTGTCATGGTCTGAAAACTTTCCACAGCATTACTCATTACATCTGTTAACATAGCTGTCTGAATGTCAGAACTAAAATATAAAATAACAATAAGACATGTGTCATGGTCTGAAAACTTTCCACAACATTACTCATTATATCTGTTAATATAGCTGTCTGAATGTCAGATCTAAAAAATAAAATATACAACAATAAGACATGTGTCATGGTCTGAAAACTTTCCACACCATTACTCATTACATCTTTTAACATAGCTGTCTGAATGTCAGAACTAAAATATAAAATAACAATAAGACATGTGTCATGGTCTGAAAACTTTCCACAGCATTACTCATTATATCTGTTAACATAGCTGTCTGAATGTCAGAACTAAAATATAAAATTATTATAAGACATGTGTCATGGTCTGAAAACTTTCCACAACATTACTCATTACATCTGTTAATATAGCTGTCTGAATGTCAGATCTAAAAAATAAAATATACAACAATAAGACATGTGTCATGGTCTGAAAACTTTCCACACCATTACTCATTACATCTGTTTACATAGCTGTCTGAATGTCAGAACTAAAATATAAACTAACAATAAGACATGTGTCATGATCTGAAAACTTTCCACACCATTACTCATTACATCTGTCAACATAGCTGTCTGAATGTCAGAACTAAAATATAAAATAACAATAAGACATGTGGCATGGTCTGAAAACTTTGCACAGCAGTACTCATTACATCTGTTAACATACATGTAGCTGTCTGAATGTCAGAACTAAAATATCAGTATAACATATAAACAATTAGAATAAAATCCTTTTTAAGAATCTAATAGTATATACATTTTCTTTATCTCTTAGGACACCACTATATCACCTCTTGAGGTTCAGTGAACAGAGGAATCTGGGTCAAACACTTAATTTGACATATATTCTAAAATTGTCACATCTTATTGAGCATGTGTACTAAGTGTTAAGTGAATGTGACCACAAGTTCATGGTCAACAACCTCAAACCAAAACTTTAATCTAATCAGTGACCTGCAAAATTAATATGTAAGTCAAAACCCTAATTAGGTATATATTTTGAATAGTTCACATTATAATGAACATGTGTACTCAGTTCCAAGTTGATGTGACCATAATTCTATTGTATTTTACCTTAAACATGTTTAACTGAATCAACATATTGAACCAAAACGTTAACCTTATACATGACGGACTAATGCACACACTTAAAAACATTTTATGCCCCCTTCTATCGTAAGCAGGAATAAAAATGGTGCAATATTGATGAGAACATCTATTATAAAGAGTTGAATGCAAGTGGCTTAGCACATTTTGCTTTCAGCATGGAGGCACTTTGTCACTAGCATTTAAAAAGCTTTTAAACATATAAAATCTGTATTTAATTCTCATTTTACATCAATTATCAATTTTATAGCAGTTCTATGTAATTTCAAAATAAATAGCAAGTTATGATTTAAGCTATCAGCATCTCAAAAACTATATACTTTATATGCTGTTATATCATTAGTATGGATACTTTATATACAGAATGTACAAGTAAGACGACATTTAAAAATCTCAAAAATAGTAGTAATACTGACCTCATTTTGTCGACTTCCTCTATTAGCTGTAAGTATGCCAGATAATATTGATATTGTTGAATTTCTGTGGTAACTTTTTCCAGTTCTTTACAAACATCCTGTTGATTTCTGACATGTTCGACAACCTGATGATGAAGGTTATCTTTTCGATGCTGTATATCTGTCACCTCAGTCTGTGTATCGTTAGCACCTTGTGTAGCATAATCTATTTCAGAAGGCAAACTTGAACTGGCTTCATGTAACTGCAAAATATAGGTTTTTTTTCTATGACATTCAGAAATTGACTCAGAGGCTTAGTTAAAGAGCATGTATAAAGTTAAGATTTCATTTTGTGAATTATTATTAGAATTCTTAAACACAAAATTCCACTGGCCTAAGTTGTTAGCATCTAAATCACCAATCCCTTTCAGTCTACTATTACTATTGTAAGGGTTCATATATATATATGGTTGTTGCAAAAAAAAGAGTGTGTGATTGATCAATTGGTGGGTGGGTGTCAGATTAGAAATGAGTTTGGATGCAAAACATAACCTTAGATAAAACGATACCAAGGGGACAATCAAAATTGTAAGTCAAAATAGGACAGACAGCGTCAAAGCCAATTGAAAATAAAATGAAAAGACAAACATGCAGTTCACTCAAAATTAATCATAAAACCAAAGATTTAGAACTTCAAACTCCCAAAAAAAAAACAAGAAAGAGCTGTCTAATCAGTTCTAGCTCCACTAGTGGTACCTATCATATTGTTCATGACAAGTAAAAATCTAACAAAAAGTTGCATTCAGTGATAGTCATAAACAAGGTGGTCAAACGATTTACAAAAAAGAGCGACGATTTACAGAATAGAACATAAAAGGACCAAAAAGAACCAAAAGGAGCCAAAAAGAGCATATATATATTTGGATATTGTTAACAATTCCTCGTGATAAGGGAACGGATAATTAAAGTTGAATCGTAAATTTTATAGGGGATATGTGGACAAAAAAAGAAATATTATTACTTGGTTTATTAGCAATAGTTTTTTTATATTTGTATAATAAATTATCATTATTTAATTTTCAGTTCTTTTCGGTCTATTTCAATTTGTTTCTGTAAATCGTGGCTCTTTTTTGTAAGTCATCAGACTCTATCCAAGGAAAGCAATAATACATAAAATTGGTAAACAGGAATCACAAACAATACTGCACCGTACAACAGACATCAACCACCAACACCCAACTCCTCAAATAAAAAAGACATGCGAACAAATACTAACAACACATGGTTAAGATACAATGTAACATGACTTGATATACATGTAAGCACAAAATCTTTAAAGTTAAACTAGTTTTACATGAGCAAAAACCTCCCTTTTTGCCAATCTAGACCATGAGACATAAACTAAAGCACACAAAAGACAAATTGAACATATCCATGTTCATCTGAGATTTTCTTTTACAGTAAATCAAGTAATGATGCCAGAGCAAAATCTTGAAAAGAGATGACTTTAATCAGCTGTTAATCATCCTTATTTTTACAGCTTCCTTCAGCTTGTAATGCACAACTCTCTTTTGAAGAAATCTGATAGGAAACCCAAGCTCTGGAACATTGTTTAAGCTTGGAGTATATCCTCCAAAGGCAGTAACATAAATATGGAAGGATTGTAATAGGAAAATTTAAGTCCCCTGTCATGTTGTTAAGTTTATGATTATTTTTCAATCCATCTCACCCTCTCTGTAGATTTCAAAAGTGTAATTCAATGTATTATTGAGACCTTACTACATATATGGTGTCATTAATTCATTCAAGTTAAATAGGAGTGACAAGACCAACATACATGTAGCATGTGTAGTAACCAAACTAGTTAATGTTCTAGATATTTATAAGACAAAAGTCCAAATAATTATGAAAAGGTGTCATAATAGACCTTATAATTTGTTTTTTGGAAATCTGCTATACTTGATTAATTGGTGTTTAACACCACTATCAGTACTTTTGTGCTATTTTGTGGCGGTCACTTTTTATTTGTGGAGGAAGCCAGGGTGCCAGGAGAGAACCACTGTCCTTAGGTAGGAAAACTGACAATCCTAGTCAATTAAAATTGGAGTCAAGCACACCTGCCATGTGAGGGATTTGAAACTCACAACCTCAAGATTGTCTGTGAAGATTAGTAAAAGTTGACAAATACACCTTAACGCTATTTGGCATAGATTACTAGCCATCGCAATTGTTCCCGTAAAATGTTGACATCATAAAAGAAAACATCTGCCGCAAGAATGAAAAAGTGTTCGGTGTATGACGTCAATTGTTCAAGTGTCACAGGTTCCCGAATAGCTAATAGGTCTATTGCAATAACATGTAATATTTGGACAAAATTGTAGGTCTTTTTTTTTACTACGCTATGTTCTGAAGACATTGATTCATGATAAGTACAATGTATCTGTCATGCCTGTGGATACCTCAATTCGATTACTTATGATAAAAAAAAATTTCACGAACGTCTCACAAAATATACAACTGTAATGTTAGTTATGAATGTACACAGTAGAAATAAGGAATAATGTTACAAAATAAAATGAAATTTCTCATCCTGTATATATTTCCTAATATTTATGGCATCAATTACTTGTTTTCCTAATGACTCAACGGTTTCCTTTATATTTTTATGAACATCTCTTAAATCTGACAGAGTCTTTATATTTTGGTTCAAGTATTCGGTAACGTGGACATTCTTCTCTAGTTTTGCCATCTGTGAAGAAAGATGGATTGTTTACATAGTTGCTTCCCTTGGAAAGAACTATTAAACATACATCAGACAAACGCTTGACGAGAAGGTGTTCGTTATTGCAAAGCGTCTAATTGATCCGTTCACGTGACATAGTTTTTCCAGCGGTAAGTTTCGTGAAATGAGAAAGGATTTTCCTTTTAAACCATTTGCTCTTTTGAAAAATACATAGAACTGCAGAACTACCCTAACATATATGTACGATTTTACATTTATAACTGTGATCTTTGAATAGATTCTAATTTTTCGTTTTATCGTTCGTTGAATGGTTCATGGGGAAACAGGATACAAATCCAAGTTATTCTTCTTTCTAATCTGTGGAGTAATAATAACAATGAAATTATATTTAATACGAAGCTGATTTATAAACTTTACGTTATATCATCTAATAAAAAACAGAGAGCACAGTGCCACAATCCATTCAGACTTAGTCCCTTTGTCCTGGTTTGCCTTCCCCTAAATAAACGTATTTACACTTTTGGTATTAAGCTGAATTTTGTCTCCTAATAACCTTCTGACGTCAAGCAACAATCACCTATTAACTATGACGTCAAATTTTTATGCCTCCGCCGTAGCGGTGGGGGTATTAAGTTTTACCCTTGTCTGTATGTATGTACGTACGTACGTTCCAAAATTGGTTTCCGTTCTCTAACTTTAGTTTGCCTCAACCAAATGTTATGAAACTTATACACAATGCTTATTACCACAAAACACAGATCAAGTTTGAATTTTGGTGGAGTCACATTAACAGTTCTAGAGTTATGCCCCTTTACAAATGAAAAAATTGTTGAATTTTCAGTTTCCGTTCTCAAACTTTAGTTTGCCTCAACCAAATGTTATAAAACTTATACACAATGCTTATTACCACAAAATACAGATCAAGTTTGAATTTTGGTGTTGTCACTTTAACAGTTCTAGAGTTACACCCGTTTACAAATGGAAAAATTGCTGAATTTTTCGTTTCTGTTCTCTAACTTAAGTTAGCCTGAATCAAATGTTATGAAACTTATACACAATGCTTATTACAAAACTGTACCACAAAACACAGATCAAATTTGAATTTTGGTGGTGTCACTTTTACTGTTCTAGAGTTATGCCCCTTTACAAACAGAAAAAATGCTGAATTTTTCATTTCCGTTCTCTAACTTTAGTTTGCCTCAACCAAATGTTATGAATCTTATATACACAATACTTATTATCACAAAACTCCAATCAAGTACAAATTTGGGTAGTGTCACTTTTACTGTTCTTCAGTTATGTCCCTTTATAACTTTATATGATATGCAAGCGGGGTCATCATCTGTGTCCCATGGACACATTCCCCATTTATTTCGTCATGCTTCAAGATATTGACTTGATATTTGTTTTATAGTTTACACCATGACAAGTTATAGATCAAGTTAGCATTTTGTTCCAGTACAATGAATTTTTAACCGGTAGGGGGCTATGTATTGCGAGGCAATACTCATAGAATGCTTGTTTAAATATCTCATACCATTACTAATTAAATTAGAGACACATGTTAGGGATCCTGTTGAAGGTGGTAGATATTTAAAGAGAAAAAAGGTAGAGTTTGCTTTTAAATACATTTAGTATTCTATGGTTAAATAAAAATGAAAAGGGCATTTCTTTGAATTTAAGCTATTTTTGTTTAAAAATAAAAAGAGCAAAGCCTATTCAAGCAAATATAAAATTCTATGTTAATGCAAGATGTCAATATGGTCAACAAACAAATTTTATATAGATAAAATAAGGATTAGGTTAATATTTATTCAAAACCATGAAAGCTGCAACATTTCTTCCATAATTTAAAACTGCAAAAAGAATAACTTTTAACCTAATGGATTATACATAATCATTTCAATAGAAAAATCAGGTAAATATCCTTGATTAATATCAAAGTAGAAATAGTAATAAAAAGAAAATAAAGTAAAGAAAGACATACTGAAGTTAAACCCAGAAAATTCAATGAAATATAAAAGGACCTTTAAGGTGTGTAAATTGTGGAACTATTTTTAGAGATTGATTGATATTCTTTGGCATTGAGGTGATCACTTTATATTTATTAAAACCTTATGGTCAACAAAATATAATTTGTTTAATGTTTGGCATTTATAAAGAATGATGGTTAAACCACACATATTATAATTCTCGGATCTCTCAAACCAAACAAGCAATCATGTTCAGGTACATTTCTTTTATTAAAGAAAGCAACTTGTTTATTTATGTCTTCTATTAATAATTTAACAATTCGAGTAAACAAACTTATTACTGTGACTTGACTGTAAGTGTTGCTCTCCACCTATTGCAGTTCAATAAAATTCTGACCAAATTGCAATTTGTTTTATCAAACCAAACTGCAACTGGTCAGAAACTTAAACCAACTGCTGCAATAAACTATAGGTACAGTTAAGTCATCAAAGTGCAAGGTTGCCAAAATCAGCCAAAAAGGCTATACAAAATCTGTTCTTCGTTGAACATTCAAATTCGTGATTTACCGTACGTACATCAACAACATCTACGAAAATTATTACCCCACAAATAATAGATTAAATCAACAGTAAGTTTAAATTTATGTAACCAATTTCAACATTTATTAATGAATCAGTATGTACTGTACTTTTGCAGTTGAACTTGTAAGATGTCTGGCATAGCTGTAGGAAGACTAAGTGAAGAAAGAAAAGCTTGGAGGAAAGATCACCCATTTGTAAGTAAAATTATTAATGGACTGAAAATCAAGAAAATGATTTCAAAAAATTACATTCATGACACTGAATTTTGTGTTTTGTTGTTCAGGAAGTACTGTAATTAAAAAAAAAATGCACTGTATTTGTCATTTTAGTATGCCTGCAACAAATAATCTGTAGGAATTAATATAGTAGATTAATCTGTATCAAATTAACATTTTTTTTGTGAGAGTCAGTTGGACGGCAAACGATTTAATGGCTTCTAAGGTCAAGACGTTGGTCACGTAACAAAAGGTCAGAGTTTACGGTTTTTTGGTAAACGTTCATGCCTCATGTTTTTTTTACTCGTATCGTCTTATTTGTACTCGTACATTAATAAAAATCAAAGTGTTCAATTCTTGAGTGAATAAGCTTCATTATTCCTTATAATTATTATTAAAAAGTGTTGTTAAAGTATTCTAAATTCACAAGTGAAGTTAAACTTTTTTTCTGAAAATTTGCGTAGGTCCACGGAAAATTCCTAATTATTCCTTAAATAGGTATGGTAACGTGTTGAGGGGTATAAAATATGAAGCAAAACCATTTTTTACTTGAAATTTTCATGATAATTGATCGTTAATTCACTGGACACGAATTTGTGTCAGCTTATTCATGGCGAAGTGGAGATCAAAGGGAGATAACTCCATGCAAGCATCGTAGGAAATTGCAAGTTCACAACAGTAAATTCAAGTAAAATTAATGATTGTAGTTATATTTCGACACTTTCTTGAATAACTATTCCATATTTCATGATCCTCTACTATTGTAACATTAAAATAGTCATGGAATGGTTGAATATGGCATTTTTCAAGTACTTACAGGTTTTTGAAAACTTGCAAAAGAGAAAATTATACACAACTGGCTTTTCTCTGAAACTTGGGACTTATTGTATATTTTCAAACACCCTTTTGGTAAATGGAATGATACAAGTCTTTGTTTTATTTTCTTTGTATCAATATTCTTAGAAAGGATATGAAAATAAACTTAGTGTTTGTACATGTTGGTTGTTAATAGAACAGTTTTTTAAATATAAATTTCACTCTACTGTAAGACTTCAATTAATTAAATTTTTATATATAAATAAGTATCTAAAATAGAAAGTTTTTAATCTGGTTCACTGAAAATGTTGCATCAGAAATGAGATTTAACAAAGTTATTTAGACTGTAGAACTTATAGATTGTCCCTTTGTATGCTGATCATGATAAATAATGGGGAAAGAAAGAGTGCTATTATAAATTCTAACACAGCATCAATTGTGAACCAATAGTTCTCTCCTTCAGACATTTTAGTTTTCAAGATGCGAGGCTTCCTGATCAATTTACATATTTAAGATTTCACTGTTAAGAGTGGAAAAATAACTTATTGACAGAGATTCTGTATGGAATTGTTTCTCTACAATACATCTATGTTACCAACTATCTTTGTTTTTCTACTATGATCTGCAAAGAGATGGGTTCTTTATGTGTGACCTCAATGATCGTCAGGCATGATTATTGGTAGCCTTTTATCCTGATGCAACAATGGCAAATTCTGAGAAAAGCAAGAACTTTTCAGCAGATCCAGCGACTCTTTTCACAAAAAATCTTAAGAGTAAAAATACTCGTAAGTCATACACATTTCAGTATAACTTACGATCAATTTTAATCTTAAGTTATTTTGTGAAAAGAGTCGCAGGTCTTTTATAAAGAGAAGGGGGTTTATTCCATATAACAGAAAAAATGTATTTGATTTCATGCCAAAAAAATTACATACAAGAGGGGTTTATCAGCCATTTGTCAGCAGAACTTGTGTTACAATTTAACTTTACACTACATTAAAATACGATATGGAAAAAAAGAAAATGTAGACAATACATGTTTCAAAATTGTGAACATTGACATTGAATGAAAAAAAAGTCAATTTGCAGTGGACAGAAGTATAATTTTTTTTATATTATACCTGCTTTAAGATACAGTGGATAGGAACCCCTCTTTTTTTGGACGATCAATGCATTTGAATGAGGACATATAGTTGGAACCCCCCCCTTTATCCTGGGTTAAGAACATCCCCCCCCCCCCTTTAAATTTGGCTGGATCCGCCCCCAAGATAAGAAACTATATAAGATGTACACATTATGTTGCTCGCTCTTAATCAAGAGAAAAAATCTGAACATCCAAAAGTCCAGAAAGGGATTTAAAACATTATAATCAACACAAAGAAAACTGAACAAAAAGCTGTATTGCAAATTTGATATCATGCAGTTCACATCATTCCTATTATTACAAGTTTTTGAATTTTTTTCCTTAAATTTGTATTCAAAAGTCCTACAAACAACTGTTGAGTCCTAACTCTTTACTTAAATTATTGATTGAATAGTGAATGATTAGTTAAGCTGATCAGTCTATAAAGTCTGAAAATGCTTTGTTTAAATAAAACAGTGTTATTATGTCATAAAATATACTGAATCAACTTCAAATTTAATCATAATTCATATTTAACTGCTCTAAAATGCATAGTCAATTGAACTACAAAACAAAAACTTGAGACTACTATAATGTAGAGATTGGTCACTTCCCATGTTATAGTAGTCTCAGACAAAAACAAAGCTGACTTAAAAACAGTATGTTCAGAAATTTTTTGAAGAATAGACAACAATGAGATATTTATTATTCTAATATCAGAAAAATCTCATAGTATCAAATCTGAATGCAAGTTCTTTTTATTGGGATAATCAATTTAATCGCATTATTTACTTTAATAAAATAAAATAATAATTTCTGAATTTACAGTCATGACTTAGCTTGTCAATCTCTGCGCTTAAAAATTTAAGTTTCCTCGGCCTAAATGTCACGAATGTGGTTGAAATACTGACAATTTTGCTAACTTTTACCAAAAATCTCTTTTTTATGACATACATTACAATTTCAGAAAAAGCTGCATAAAGTTATATATGTATCACATATCAGAATGCTAGTTTGTATGCTATCATCATGATTATCATGATTATTGCAATAAGTTGTTATTCAATTAATTAAAAAACATCAATTATTTTTGAACTAATAGCCCAAAATATTAATCTGGAATCAGTACATACATTTGTTTTTTTAAACATCTATATACTATTCATTAGCAGAGAATTCATTAGGGAACTTATTAAAATGAAATTTTGCACAAGACAGTCATGGCAGTTCACAATTACAGTGGTCATTATAAACATAATGACAAAATTTTATTGTTGATAAATGTAAACTGAAATCATTGCAGAATTTTTCTTTCAAATGATTTAATGTTTGTTAGTCACTTAGTACTTTAAATACTTAACCTGTACTAAAATAAAGAGATGTGGCATGATTGCCAATGAGATGACAGACTAAAAACTATCCACCAGAGTCCAAATAATGTGTGTGTCATGTCTGTTAGCAGTTATAAGTCACTTTACAGACATCAACACTGAATACATTTATGGCAGATGAGGAAAAAGAGGAATTGTAGCTTTTTAGCTTACTACATGAGAATATAAGAAATATAATAATATAATAATATAAATAAGGAAATAAGAGAGACATAAAAGACAGGACAACATATAAGGTGTTCCCTTACTATCCTTAGAGGAGCTGCTGTATACTTAGAAAAAAGGATGTTGAGGACTTGGCCACATCAAACAGCATTTTTGACACTACATTATGGACTATTGCAATCTGTCCTATAATGAGTATTAAAATTAATGTCTAGGGTGGGAATTAAACCCATGTATGTTCATATACTCTATTGTTCTCTTTGTACATACATGTATATGAAAAATATCAAATGCAAAAAAATGCTGTAATGTAAATATGGTAATTTACATCATTACAACCTCATTTTTAATAAGGACCTAATAAAGGAAGTCCCTGATGGCCTGAACCTAGCTAGACCTATTTCTTAGGCGGGGTGTATTATATAACTCTTGAAAGTATTAAAATACAATTGTAAAATTAATTTTATCTGCTGTTAAACAATAATAACACAATAGTGGTTATTTCTAAGTATTAAGTAACAACAACGTGCAATTTAGGTAAACAAACATCAATGATCGTGTTTGTCTGCTGTGCTTGAATTCATAACGACCCATCAGGTTTATTTACACGAACTTTTGCTAAAGCAGACAGTTAAACATGTCTGTTTACCTAAAATTCTATAAAAAATGCATTTGCTGTCATGACTTGTGTATGCATGGAAATATAATGAAGATAACATTGATTTTTTACCGTAAAAATGAATACACAAACATTCTTCAGCTATACACATAAAACACATCCCACTTTTGCAACTATGGATGGTAACGTATAGCCACTTTATAACAGTAAATGCCATTGGATAAGCTACCCTACACAGTACATAATATGCAAATTAATGATTGGATACGAATTTGTGTCACCTCTCAAATTGATGGAAAAATGTAAACATTGGAATCCGCCATTTTGACGTAGGAAACAAACTAATTTTCAATCTTGGATTAAAGGACATTGCGCACATTGCCAGCGTATCATGCATAACCAGTCATGTGCAAATATATCTTTTAATTTGTTTTCTACACTTACTATTCTATGTTTTAGTTAATTTAATGTTTTAATTTCCTACAGAACGGAACATCATTCTCAAAGATGCTGTAGAAAAAATTATAGATGGCACTGTTTGTGGGCGTAAACATTTTACATACGGGTACTTTTTGTGTCGACAGATTGACCTTTATCTGTCAGATTCAGGCGTTTGCTGTTCAACTGAGTATGTTTTCATTTTCTTTTCCTTTGCAGGGTTTTGTAGCCAGACCAACAAAAAATCCAGATGGAACATTAAATTTATTGAATTGGGAATGTGCAATACCAGGCAAGAAAGGGGTAAATATTGATTTCATATAGTATTTTGTAAAGATTGGAAGTTTTGATCCAATTTTTGTCCTTAGGCACATAGTTCCCAATATTTCTCATGTCTATGTCAATATGCACAAATGAACTGTACAAATTTTGTTTACCGTAGAAAGGCTTGTATAGTTCGCAGTGGTACATAGTCCGCACCCCCTTCTCCCCACGAAATTTTAGGTAAAAAAACTTTTTGTAACTGTTAGAAAAGGTCTAATGAAACTCCGGTAATTTCAAATCCTGTGCGGTTGTTTGCGGTATTTTCTTGGAAAAACCTGTTTTCCATCATCAAACAGAAGCTGAAACTGCTTGTTAATGATTCTAGAACGCTTCATGATTGTTAAAATAAGTTTAATTCACTTAAAAAACAATTTAGAAACTTGTGTATGTTTAAACAGGAAGTTTAAAAAGCACGTGTAAAAGAAGAAATTAACCGGTGAGAGTCGAAATCCGTACATAACAGATATCACTATAATACGACTTTGAAAGTAAAACAGTTCCATCCTTTTGTAAAACAGTCTTTAATATATCTATCACATTAATGTTTGAAGGGTCTTAAGCTAATACAAACCATATAAGTCAGTATGAAATACCAAAACGGGTACATCTTTAGAGCATTTTTATACGACCGCAAAAAATTTTTGCGGTCGTATATTGGTATGGCGTCGTCGTCCGGCGTCGTCCGAAGACACATTGGTTTTCGCACTCTAACTTTAGTTTAAGTAAATGGATCTCTATGAAATTTTACCATAAGGTTCAATACCACAAAAGGAAGGTTGGGATTGATTTTGGGGGTTATTGTACCAACAGTTAAGGAATTAGGGGCCAAAAAGGGGCCAAAAATAAGCATTTTTGTAACTTCCAGACATAACTTGTGTGTTAGTGTATGGATCTCTCTGACATTGTACCACAAGGTTCCATATCACACAGGGAATGCTGGGATTGATTTTGGGGGTAATTGCCTCAAAATATTAGGAATTAGGGGCCAAAAAGGGGCAAAAAACAAGCATTTTCTAGTTTCATGACAATAACTTGTGTGTAAGTGTATGGATCTTTCTGAAATTGTACTACAAGGTTCCATATCACAAAGGGAAAGCTGGAATTGAGTTTGGAGGTAATTGCCCAAAACGTTTAGGAATAAGGGGCCAAAAAGGGGCCAAAAATAAGCATTTTTCTAGTTTCCAGACAATAACTTGTGTTCAAGTGTATGGATCTCTCTGAAATTGTACCACAAGGTTCCATATCATACAGGGAATGCTGGGATTGATTTTGGGGGTAATTGCCTCAAAATATTAGGAATTAGGGGCCAAAAAAGGGGCAAAAAACAAGCATTTTTCTAGTTTCATGATAATAACTTGTGTGTAAGTGTATGGATCTTTCTGAAATTGTACTACAAGGTTCCATATCACAAAGGGAAAGCTGGAATTGAGTTTGGGGGTAATTGCCCAAAACGTTTAGGAATAAGGGGCCAAAAAGGGGCCAAAAATAAGCATTTTTCTAGTTTCCAGACAATAACTTGTGTTCAAGTATATGGATCTCTCTGAAATTGTACTGCAAGGTACCATACCACAAAGGGAAGGCTGGGATTGAGTTTGGGGGTGATGAATCATAAGGGGGTTGAAAAAATTTGGGGGGGGGGTATTTTTTTTTTTTTCCTTTTTTTTTCTTTTAAAATTTTCCATTTTAAGTTGGTTATTTCTGTTTTATATTTAAAAGCAAATAATAATGATATGGTAGGAGATACACACCAAACAGGATGTGTCAATTATTATATAATAAGTATTGTGCAATAGCAAGAAATTTTCAATTGCACAGTATTGCACAATAGCAAGAAATCTTCAATTGCACAGTATTGCGCAATAGCAAGAAATCTTCAATTGCACAGTATTGTGCAATGGCAAAAAATATCCAATAGCACATTATTGCGCAATAGCAAGAAATTGTCAATTGTACAGTATTGCGCAATAGCAAGAAATATTCAATTGCACAGTATTGTGCAAAAGAAGATACTTCGTATAAATTGCTTATTTCTTGACCAATTTCAATGGGGTTTTATTCTTGAATTCTTGGGGTTCTTTAATATGCTGATTCTAACCGTGTATTAAGTTTTTGGATTTTGGGCCTCATTTTTAAATTGGTCCACATTGAGGTCCAAAGGGTCCAAAATTAAACTTTGTTTGATTTCATCAAAAATTGAATTATTGGGGTTCTTTGATATGCTGAATATAACCATGTATTTAGATTTTTGATTTTTGGGCCCCATTATCAACTTTGTCCACATTGAGGTCAAAAAGGGTCCAAAATTAAACTTTGTTTGATTTCATCAAAAATTTAATTCTTGGGGTTCTTTGAAATGCTGAATCTAACCATGTATTTAGATTTTGGATATTGGACCATAATAGGTGAATGTCCAATTAAAAATTTTTAAGTTCTTAGACCACATTCATTCTGTGTCAGAAACCTATGCTGTGTCAAACAGGGATGGGGTAATCGTAATCTGTAATCGTAATCGATTGTAATTGATTACATTTTTTCCAGTAATCGACAGTAATCTGTAATCGAAGATATTTTCGATTACATGTAATCGTAATTTAATCGATTACAGCAAAAATTATGATGTAATCATCGATTACTTTTCGATTACATTTCGATTACTTTGGTCAAATAGCTTGATGAAATATAATCTATTTTATATGAAAGTATGTATGTATTCATCACTTTATAGTACAGATAAAAATAAAATGTATTGATATGACTTAAGAGTTTATCAAATGCCTTGTTTCTATCTATTGGCTCCAGCTGCTTCAACCAGATCTATCAAATTATACTGTATATATCTAGCTTTTGAAACAAATGACTTTTCTTGCTGGTCAATAATTTAAGACCTTTTATATAAAAATAAGAAAATAGATTTAAATAAAAAATAAGTCTTAAGTTAAAATCTGTACTATATTGCAGTAGTAAGCTTATTTGTATTAAAATTCCTCAAAGCATAATTTTCAATAATAGTTGGAATTTTAGCTTAGAATAGATAAACATTTGATTCATTATAATGTTATGACATAAAAATTACAAAGTACACGGATTCCTTTTGACAATGAACCAATGGCTATGCATTAAAATTCTTGTTCAGAAATAGAGATACATGTATCCAATTTTTGCACAAAAAATATAAAATGTTTATAATTTTGAAATGAGAATACAAAATTCTCAACAAACTTCTTGTCTTTACTAATCAGATAAACAAAGACTTCTAATCAATAAGATGAACACTTTGTTGTTTTGATTTCAATTATGTCTAATTAAGAGGAGATTTACATTATATTGCACCAGGTTATAATTGTACTCCATTGGCAGTATTATAGCCTGTAATTAGGGTTGTCAAAACAAAAGGATTAATTCATGCATGTAATTACAAATTATAAATTTTCATCTCTAAAATTAGCTGAACTAATTAATTATTCTACTTTTTTATAGTTTTTTTTTCAGAGTAAACTTTCAACATTGTAATGAACTATATTCAAATAATATAGCTGTTAATAATGAGTAAAAACAAAAAAACTTTACTTTAGTCAGTATGACAGCAAAAATTTGCAAAAATATGGAGATAATAACCTAAAATATAAAGAAGTGATTGATGCAATGTGATGCCATTGCAAGAACTTTATCACCAATCAGTCATATTGAAAACCAAAATTTCTAGAATTTTTGAATATTTCGGATCCTTAGACAGTAAGAGCTTCCATCTAGAAAACAACTGTCAACATAAAATTTGGAAACAATGCTTTAAATGCTATTTTTGTAAAGTTCAAAATTTCCACTATACATACATTGAACAACATAATTGACTCTGTGTTTAACTTACTTTTTTTAATTTGTAATTTTGTAGCATGTAATTGACAGTAATCGAAAAGTAATGTAATTACTTTTGCTAAAGTAATCGATTGCAATCGATTACATACAAAAATCAGAGTAATCGATTATTAATCGATTACACAAAAATCCTTCAAGTAATCAATTATTAATCGATTACATTTGTCAGTAATCGTGCCCATCCCTGGTGTCAAATATTTAATCACAATCCAAATTCAGAGCTGTATCAAGCTTGAATGTTGTGTCCATACTTGCCCCAACTGTTCAGGGTTCGACCTCTGCGGTCGTATCAAGCTGCGCCCTGCAGAGCATTTTATTTCAAGAATAATGTGTCGAGTAGGATTACTGGTCTTCCTGTTGACTAATACCTTGTTAACTAGATTGTAAAAAATTCTGCTCAGTTTTGTACTATACAGGTTTCATATTCATATCCCATTAACATGTTTTCCTCCTTTATATGCATGTCTTATTTGGGACTGGACCTTAATCACCAATTCATCATCATTATCAAATTATATTACGATATTATTATTTTCAGACACCATGGGAAGGAGGATTATACAGATTACGAATGTTATTTAAAGAAGACTATCCTAGCTCACCTCCTAAATGTAAGATTTGGTGTATTTATAAAGTAGTAATATTATTTCACTCAGACATGGGTAAATTTAATGACCATGTCCTGCAGATTGCATTTGTAATTGAACATTTGGAAACTCAATGTTATTTTTGGGAGTGTTTTTAAAATGCCTATGTGACTGTGAATCATCAGATAAAGTTTCTTCGTTATAAAATTGAATGGAACTGTTAAACACAATACATGTACTCTGTAATTGCCATAGTCAAACAGACAACTACAATACACTACAATACCAGATACAAATGATAAATAGTAATCACACTGTTTATCAAAAAAGATGATTTACTCCTGACTGAAATGTTAACATGGATGAATTGGTAACATTTTGGTCTGTATTATCAATGTCATTAGTTTGGACTTAATAAAGATTGATTATCAAACTTCATTGTGCCTATATATGTTATATAACTCTGTTCAGCTCTTCTTTAAATTTCTTATTATGGCTTTATGACATCATAATGTTTTTGACCTGATATTGATAAGTTTGACCCAAAATTATCAAGTCCTCTTCCATTTTGCTGGTAAAACAAAGAAAAACTTGATTATGTCATGAAAAACAATCCCTAAATCAATTATAAGATTTTCATCATATTGATATTGTCAAATTTCAGCTGCTCTACCTAGTATGAAGCCTTATTGAACTCCTTTGCTGCACTCACTAAAAAGCTTCATATTGTGATTTGCAAATGACATTTAACCATATCAATATGCTTATTTCTTCAATTTATTGTTTTCTGTTGCAGGTAAATTTGAACCTCCACTATTCCATCCCAATGTTTATCCATCAGGAACAGTTTGTCTTTCACTGCTAGACGAAGAAAAAGATTGGAGGCCTGCAGTTACAATAAAACAGGTTTGTTAAACAGTAATTTGGCAAAAAAATTATACTTGACAGAAAAAAAGGGTAGGTAGGTAAAAGGATTTTTATTTTTATAGTCCCGCAACTTAGTGGTTGGGGCCATATAATTTTACCCTCGTCTGTCATTCCGCAACAAACAATTATACAGACTTTTTTTTTAAACGTCTTCACATATTGCACTGATTTTTTGCTGAAATTACAGGCTTTAGACTTTGAAAATTTCGTGAAAATAAGAGTTATACAGACTTTTTTCTAAATGCCTTCACATCTTGAGCTCTATTTTAGTATGCGATTATCAAATTTCCACTCCTAAAAATGGCTTCAAGTTTTTTTTGTGATCGGGGCCATTCATGTCGCTTAGACACATTTTGTTTATTTATACTTTACATACATATAGACTATTCAGGGAAATGTTCTGAACTTTTACTGTTTAACCACAAATGTCTAGACATTAACACTGCTTGACCAGAAATGCCTTCAAATGTGTTAGGGTATGCATGAAATGTATAGGGTAGGTAGGAAGGCAGGAAACTACTACATTGCTTTTGGTCTCAGTAGTCATCAGTATACATGGGCATTTACGTCATTTTAATAGATCAATATGTAAAATTACTATGAAAAATCTTTACTTGTGAGAATTTGCAAGTATTACACTTTCTGTATTAGTATCCAACCAAACTAATTAAATTACTTCAAAATACAATACGCTGAACACTGAAGAATACTGAAAAGAATTCTTTGAGAAATAATATTAATAATGGTACATTTATGATTGACAGATTTTACTGGGAATACAGGAATTATTGAATGAACCTAACATTAAAGATCCAGCACAGGCAGAGGCATATACAATTTATTGGTAGGTATAACATGTTATTACCAAAACCGTCAGGCATGTTTTTGTATAAAAAAAATTCTGATGAAGATGTTTAAAGAAAAGTAAAACAAAAATACTCAACTAGAAAATACTAAATTCATAAAAGGGAAGTCCATAAAAACTGACAAAATCAAATGTTATCAACCAACGGCACAAGTGAAAAACAACTGTTATATTCCTGACTTGACACAGGCATTTTCCAAAAAAACTTAAAGACTTATAAGCATGTGAGAAGTCTCAAGATGGGATCAAAATTCCAAAAGGAAATATTTATGGATAGTGACCAGAAAAAGGACAGTCCAATTCAGAATTGACATAAGTTTGGTTACTCATAAAAATAGAAATACTTTCAAAGTAAATTTTTGGTCACTAAATGAAATAAACTTTGATAGCAAAAAGTAAAAAAAAATCTTTGTATTTATTAATACAACCAAAAAACCAAGTATTATGGATTAAACGATTATCTGTTCTTATCTTATGATATATCTATATCATATAGAGATTTATCTTGCTTTTGACAAAAGCTACTCTATAAATTGAGAAGCAGAGAGCAAGCTTATATGGGGCAATATGCACTACTGACTGACAGTATTTAGATCATATACCATCATGTTATACACTTACAAAATAAAATCTGAATATTGTCAAGATTTATGTTTTGAGGGTTGTTTCTGATGTGGCTTTACTGTTAGGGTCTTTTTAAAGAAGAACAAAAAAAGGGGCGAATTGTTAAAAAAATTTTTTTTATAAGATATCTTATGTTTTCTTTTAGTCAAAACAGAACAGAATATGAAAGGCGAGTAAAAGAACAAGCTTCCAGATTCAGGGATCCTTCATTGTAGAACTTTTTATTCTTGTGTAAATTGTTTGTACATATTGTAAACTTATTTTGTAAAACAAGCCTCCATCGTTTATTAAGAAAATGAGTGACTATTAATCATCAGAAAATAAGTAGAACTTGAACTTTTAATCTTCAAATATCTATCTTAGAACTAAGCTGTCATATATGGGTTATAAGTGATGAAGTTGGAAAGGAAAAAAAAAACTATATTGCTACTGAAGCTATGACTATTGAAATATTTTATTAAGGAAAGAATGCATATCTTAAATCAAAAATGATATACATGATACTTTATGAACTCTGCGAGAGTTCAATTAATTCTTACATCATAGAATCTCTTGTAATGTCATCATGTTAAATGTTGTATAGCAGATTAAATTTCATGATGTATTTGTGTTCTTCATTTATAACTAAGAGATGGAAATTGAAATAATTCAAGCACTCCTACCAACACCTGTCAGACTTACATTCCAGAACAAAGTTGTAATATGTAGTAACATTTTCATGCATAATCTCTTACTTTGAATATGTTTGCTGCAAGGCATAATGCCCATTTGAGTTTGACAGCAATACCCTGTTGATTGACTCTAAATTACCATTCATTGTGCTAAAATGATTTCTGATGCCTGAAATTTGTGCGACCCAATATTCATGGTTATTCCATCCATGTGTTAACAATTTAGTGTTAAAATGGTCTTTGAGACTCCATTCTTCTATTTTATCATTCAGTTGGATAAATTATCATTTGTTCTATCCTACCATTTAATATTAAAATGATCCTCATAGACTGATATTTATTTAACTGTCGCAGGAGGTGTTGGGTTCAAACCCCGGCGAGGTCAAACCAAAGACTTTTAAAATTGGAAATTGCTGCTTCTCCGGTAAGCACACGGCATTGAGGAGTAAGAGCAAAGACTGGTTTGCTCAGAGTTAGAATAATGTGTCAAGGTAAGGTGACATGCAGTGTCTTCCTGCAGACTGTTACCTTGTGAGCTAGCTTGTTAAATATCTGGCTCAGCGAGTTAGTCTAGTACAAAGCAGGGTTAATATTCATATTACATTAACATGTTCTCGTCTTGAATATGCATACCATTTGGTGTTTAAAGTAATAGCTGGGCTGATATTTTTCCATCTCACCATGCTATTTCAAAACCTTACAATTAGTCCACCTGAAACTTTGTGGGTAAATTAAAAAAGCAATATCAAAGATTGACAAAATTTTGTCCAAACATTCAAATTTTAAATGATCACTTCAGCCCAATATTTGTCCCATTCGAACAGTCATTGTTTGGATGGTAGCCATAGCCTAATATTTATCCCATTCAATATTAAATTGATATCTGTGACATATGTTCCATTTTCTCTTATTGTGTCTGGATTTATTGAATTTCGTTCTTATGTGAAAATAATAAAAAGTTGAGGACATGGTTTAACATCTGTCTGTTGGAAAACTATAGATGGTTACAAAAATTATCCCTACAGATGGAACTCTTCAATATTTAGAATTCTCTGCAGGACCATATTAATTAATTCAGACAGAAATAAAATGCTCCACAGGGTGCAGTTTGATACGACTGCAGATGTCGAACCTTGAACAGTTGGGGCAAGTGTGAACACAACATTGAAGCTTGATACAGCTATGAATTTGGATTGTGATTAAAGTATTTGACACAGCATAGGTTTCTAACACAGAATGAATGTGGTCTAAGAACTTAAAAATTTGAAATGGGACAATACCCATTATGGTCCAATATCCAAAATATAAATACATGATTAGAATCAGCTTATCAAAGCACCCCAAGAATTCAATTTTTAATGATATCAAATAAAGTTTAATTTTGGACCCTTTGGACCTCAATGTGGACCAATTTGATAACAGGGCCCAAAATCTAGATACAGTTAGATTCAGCATTTCAAAGAACCCAATATATTCAACTTTTGTTGAAATCAAACAGTTTAATTTTGGATCCCAATTTTGACCAACTATAAAACTGGGCCTAAAATCAATAAACTGTTAACACAGAGATATGTCTCGCCTTTTTTGTAATTTTGATAATGCAAATGTTGAAATTAAAATAGCAATACTTGAACACGTTAGTTATGCAAATATTCCAAGTCAATGAACCATGACTGAAGGTACATGACTAAACAATCTCCATGGAAATGAGATGTGCTAATGCTTATACAACTGCATACCAGTTAACATTGGCCTACCACTAATGGTTCCCCTTAAACTGACCTAATCACAAACCTATACATGTAAACTAAGCAAAAGTTTCTTAGTCAACAGACCATGACTGAGGGGGGTGAGGCCAACTAATCTCCATGGAAATAAGATATGCCAATGCTTATACAACTGCATACCAAACATCATTGACCTACCACTAGTGGTTCCCCATAAACTAGACCTAATCACAAACTAATACGTTGTTGAAACTGGAAACAGCATGCCTGTGTCTGGCTTTTTGACTCCGTCAAGGCGAGACAAAAATCTAAATACATGTCTGGATTCAGCATACCAAAGAACCCCAAGAATTCAATTTTTGTTAAAGTCAAACTAACTTTAATTTTGGATCCTTTGGATCTTAATGTGGACAATTTGAAAACGACCATAACTCAAAAATCTAAATACAGTTAAGACTCAGCATATGAAAGAACTCTTAAGAATTTAATTTTGTTGAAATCAAACAAAGTTTAATTTTGGACCCTTTGGACCTTAATGTGGACCAATTTCAAAACAGCGCCTAAACTTTAAAATATAAAAACGGTTAGATTCAGCATATCAAAGAACTCCATTCAATTTATGATAAAATCAAACAAAGTCTTATTTTGGACCCTTTGGACCTCAATGTAGACCAATTTTAAAACAGGCCCCAAAATCCAAAATATTAATACACAGTTAGATTCAGCATATTAAAGAACCCTTGACTTTGAAACATTTCAACAGAGGTTTATTGGCACTGCACCTTCAAGTCATGGTTCCTGACTTTGAAAATTTTGCATAGTTGACATGTTAAAGTATTGCCATTTGTTCCCAACATTTGGTTTGTAATACATGTATCATAATATCATAAAGGCAAGACACATCTCTGGGTTGACAGTTTATCTCCAACAAAGCAAGATAAATGCTACGCTGGATGCAGCTTGATATGACCGCAGAGGTTGAACCCTGAACAGTTGAGGCAAGTATTGTTTTATAAACAAATTTTCTGTTATAATCTAGTTAGTTACTTATTTATTAGTCATGTTGATGGTAATTATGCGTGAATTGTGTAAACAGTTTTTAGTAATGAACAAAACTTGCACCCTGGTCTTTTTTGCTGAAAAGTAAATTTTTACAAAAATATAAACTGAAGATAATATTAACACTATGACACTTATCTTCTCATGTTATATAGTGTAATAGAAAGAATTGCTCCACAACTCTCAAACATACATTAACACACATGGCACACATTTCAAAAGTTCTCAAGTGAAAAACACTGAAATTGATATCTGGTAAAGAATATTGCTCATGCATTCTACATGTCTGTCTGGCTTGGTTTATCTGACCTTGACCTCATATTCATGAATCATTGATAATGTTAAGTTTATGTGATACTTGTAGTAAAAGCTTATCTTTAGGACTGTCAACATAAAATCAATCATGGTTAGTGAAGCAGGTGAGACATTTCAGCTTGTGTACTCTTGTTAAGTTTTGAGGTGATTATTTCACACCTATTTTTCATGAGAATTGTAATTAAAATTGATATACATGTAGAAACTATGGTTTTCCCTTTGATTTGGCCTTGATATTTGTTATTAAAGGGAGCATCCTTTACAAAACTAAGTCCCATTTATTGGATAATTTGTTTCTGAGGGAATGCATAGGTCTCCATAGATGAAAGGTGAAAGGAGTTTGGTACCCAGCAGTTAAAACAGTATATCTTCTAACTGGAGGCATATATAAAAAAATATGAGACACTATTTTAGTAGCTTGTGAATTGTGAACATTAAAGGGATGAAACCAAATTTTTACAATCCTTTGATTTAATAATGCTTTTTTTCATTCAAATTGACAGAGTAGTTATTTGGCAGTTAATGAGCTACATTTTTTAATTGATCATTATTAAAAAAACTTTATCCACAGATTTAGAAAGAGTAATGTAAAGAGATTTAAAATCCATTGTGTTGCTTCTGAGTATTTAATCTTTAAGACTGTTGGTTGGAGTAATAAAAGTCAGACTGTAGTGCTTATTTAAATATCTCATACCATTACTAATTAAATTAGAGACACATGTTAGGGATCCTGTTGAAGGTGGTTGATATTTAAAGAGAAAAAAGGTAGAGTTTGCTTTACATATACTATTCTATGGTTAAATAAAAATGAAAAGGGCATTTCTTTGAATTTAAGCTATTCTTATTTAAAAATAAAATGAGCAAAGCCCATTTAAGCAAACATAAAATTCTATGTTATTGCACGATGTCAACAAACAAGAAATTTCTAAAATTTAAAATCTTATATAGAAAAAATAAGGTTAAGGTTAATATTTATTCAAAACTACAACATTTCTTCCATAATTTAAAACTGCAAAAAGAATAACTTTTAACCTTATGGATTATACATTATCATTTCAATAGAAAAATCCAGTAAATATCCTTAATCATTATCAACGTATAAATAGGAATAAAAAGAAAATAAAGTAAAGAAAGACATACTGTAGTTAAACCCAGAAAATTCAATAAAATTTAAAAGGACCTATTAGGTGTGTAAATTGTGGAACTATTTTAGAGACTGATTGATATTCCTTGGAATTGAGGTGATCAGTTTATATTTATTAAAACCTTATCAGTGGCGTATCCAGAGGGGGGGTTCCGGGGGTTGGAACCCCCCCTTTTTTTTGGACGATCAATGCATTTGAATGGGGACATATAGTTGGAAACCCCTTTACCCTGGGTTGGGAACCCCCCCTTTTTAAAATGGCTGGATCCGCCCCTGCTTATGGTCAACAAAATATAATTTGTTTAATGTTTGGCGTTTATAAAGAATGATGGTTAAACCACACATCTTTATATTATAATTCTCGGATCTCTCAAACCAAACAAGCAATCATGTTCAGGTACATTTCTTTTATTAAAGAAAGCAACTTGTTTATTTATGTCTTCTATTAATAATTTAACAATTTGGGTAAACAAACTTATTACTGTGACTTGACTGTAAGTGTTGCTCTCCACCTATTGCAGTTCAATCAAATTCTGACCAAATTGCAATTTGTTTTATCAAACCAAACTTCAACAGGTCAGAAATTTAAACCAACTGCTGCAATATTATCTACAGTTCAAAGTGCAAGGTTGCCAAAGTCAGCTAAAAAGTCTATAAAAAGTTTGTTCTTCTTTGAACCTTCAAATTC